CATAAATGATTATGTAGCCCAAATGTACTCCAATTCCCACCGGAATTTTTTTTTTAATCCAGCAGCCTTCTTAGGTCACCTTTATCAATAAAAATTAATGAGGTCTCAGTACAATTTAAACTGTTCCGTAAAGGCTAAGAGATGTTAGAAAGCAACAATGAAAAACCAGGTTCTTTAAAATGAAGAAACAGCAGACGGATCACAGATAAAGCTGTTAAGAAGTTTAAAACAGCGTTAGATTATAAATTAAGGTCGATTCAAAGAGGTTCTCTTCACTGCAACAATCGATCAAAGGTATGGAACAACTGTAATCCTATCAAGAAATGGTCCTTCATGCTACCTAACCAACCAGATGACAAGAACATAGTTAAGGGAAAGGACTAAGAACTCCTGCGGATTAGCAACAGAATGCTATAGTTCAGTTGGCAAAATTCATTAACAAGAAAACTATAAGCCACACGAAAAAAGTGTTCTTTGTGGAATGTTGAATTAAATCTATAAATCCACCGTTGTTTATTATAGATGTCAAAAGGTGATCTGCATTGATGAGACCAGAAGGGGACTTTTAAACCTCCACTTTTAAAACACAACAAGATTGATAAATAATATTGTGCACACCATGTCTTGAAGTAGAAACAAGAGTGAGTATCACAGCACTTTCATAGCAGCCAGACAAATATAGAGGCAAAACAAAAAGTTTCACTGTATTACCCTAGACCTACTATCAAATATTAATTTACGAGAATTAGAACATTCATTCTCTATGTAGGACAAATACCAAACTGCTATACTTAGGACTGTGATAGAACGTAGCTTTTGTTTTTCATTTTTTGCAAACTGAAGCCCTTTTTCAATTTCACTCTAATAAAGGGAAATCACATGAACAAAAATACAAACAAAATACAGCGTCACTACATTTCCAATGTTTCTATTAATACAAATTTTTAGGTAACTAAACAATATTCTATATTTCTTTAAAACACACATTTACAAACCTCCTTTTGTTGAGGAAACATTCTGTCAGACTTACTCAGCTATTTATCTTTCTGTGCCCAAACCTCTAATAGTGCACTCAAAAAGAGAATCCCTCTTGCCATTCCAAATCAAGGTCTAAGCCAATTTTCTCTCTAAAATAACCACAAAACAAATTAGCAAACAACCAGTGGAACAGAAGTGAGGGGAAGAAAATGACACACAATCAGTCACATACACACATGTGCACACAAACACACATAGCTGTGCAATGACAGCATTTTTCCTCCAATGTGCAGTGCAGTGAAATACCAGCCAAACAACAACCAGAGGCCATAACACATCAGATGCAAAGAAGAAAAACATAAGAAAGGAGGAGGAAAACATCACACTACACCAAGCTTGTGAGACGTTTCCACTTTTAGATTGTCCCATTATCAATTTTGCTCCAAAAATTTCCTCAGCACAGTTACAGAAAATTAATGACTGTTCTGAGTTAACAGTTGTCGCAGGAGCCCAGAGAAGCTCTAATAATAGGCTTAGGGCACCTCATATTTCCCAAAGAATTAACAAAACCAGTGTCATAACAATACCATCTCGCACAGCAGATAAAGAATTGCTTGTCAAGAAAAGTATTGGTGAGCATGCATTGTTAAAATAACAATACTTTTGCAAATAATAGAATAATAATCTTTATCTAAAACTGTTTTCCAAATTCTTTCCCTTACATAACACCTGCATAGTGTTCTCTTTCTACTTTTGTTTATGAAGCTTCTTAAGTCAAGAATAGGGTCAAACAAAATCTTAAGAAAATGAAAAATGAACTTGTAATCAACATTTATGTAATATGCAATCATTATCCAGTGTAAGATTGATGGTTATACCATGTTGTTGTCTTTTATCTAAACTAAAAATAAAAACAAACTAAAATACAGAACATAAATAGGGCAAAGACGCAGAACTGTTGACAAAAAACTAATTCAATTGTAATGAAAATGTTACCTTGCACTGATTGTGCAGAAGTAGTAGAGAAACATCAGCACATGTGTTAAAGTATTTAGTAAATCTCTGACTTAGTATAGATTCAACGTTCATCATGAAGTATCCTGCAGATCATTGGGGGGATGACAAAAACAATATCCTAAAAAACTATTTTGACAGAAAGCTTAATGTTTATCTGTGGAATCTAATTATATAAATTAAACAATGGAGAATATAAAAACAAAAGTTTACCAAGACACTAAGCAAAACAAAAATTATCAACTTAATCTATTAATTTTAGAGCGGGTTTTGGAGGGTAAAGGTTTAGATTAATAGAGTAATATATCATGCTTTTAATCAAACTAAGTGCATACTAAAACTGCTGACATTATTATTTGACCTTGTATTCATGGAAACTAAGGTTTTGTGTATTTCTCTGTGTGTGAATGTGTATATGTACCAGAGGGGAGGAAGACTAATTGGACAGAGCAGAGCACAAGATTTTCAACACTGTAAAACTTTCCAAAAGCTGTAGAAACGAGAAAGCCTTCACACTTCATATAATCACTTTTAAATGATTCATATGAAGGGGTCCTTTGCTTGTCTGGGCAGCAATAATTGCCAAAAATAAATGAACATTGAAGGCAACACAAGATAAAATGTTCAATTTAATGCAAGCTTGTATACTGGATCACTGATAATCAATACTGGAGATGACTCATCAACAATATCTGAACATATTTCAGAAAAGAAAGGTTGGTTTGCTACATTTTAATTACTGTAAGTTGACACATATCAGGAATAATAGCACTGTATTTAAAGTGAGCGTCATACCTTCTGTTAAATGCATTAGAAACAAAGCAAAGGGGTCATTGGGTAAAATTAATTAATCTACAAATTCTAGTGAAAATTAAAAAAACTACAGATTCCTTTTTAAAATGTCCGTTTTGGGCTTTAAATGAATTGAGAGCCAGACAAATCATTTCAGAATTTTTTAAAAATAGTTTCATATTACCTATGAGCTGTACAACCCAAATGAAAGTGTGGACACACTCATTTTTTTAACCAGCAATTGTGCTGGCCACCCCATTCATGCTCATATTAAAAATCAATAATGATATACCTGCCACCATTAGCATGATTTCTTTCTTCTTTTTTTTTTCTTTCTTTTTTAACATTTATTTTTGTTGCATCTAACAGCAAAGGCCATAATTTGAACAGTTTATGCATTGGAAGAATCTTACAAAGACCCAAGCTACAAATCAGGGAAAGTTCACAAAAGGATTTTTTGAGCCATTATAAATACCATAAGAAATAAACATCAAGAGTAGGAAATATAATGCAGAGAACTGTATTTTCCCCCACAACCAGGGAAATAACAAAAAAATACTGGTGCTGAATGAGCTTCTTATAGTTACTGAATGTGATCCTTGTATGCCTAGACTTTGAGATACAATGGTAAAATGAAAATGATGCTAGGGTTTTCTTCAATAAAAGAAGGAAAAGAAAAATATTTTACCTGGCTTAATCTTTCAAAGCCATGTCTGGTAATGTGTTATGGTTTTAAAATATGGGTAATGATTTTTAGGCCATAATTAGAAATGTTTGTTTGGGACAAGAACAGCACTAGCTGGAGTTGGGGATTTAATGTAGTGGAAATCCTGATTAATTTCAAAGTCAATGTTTGCACCAAATATCAGACATGTGCTTCAATGCTGAAGTCATCTTTAGTTTGAGAAAACATTCAGGTATACATCAAAATGTTAAAAGTGTGTGTTCACCAGAAGACTGTAATAGTTTTTATAGAGTGGTATTGCAAGAGCCCAGCCTCAATTCTCATTAAAGTTCTGTGAGGCAATATAAGATGATGGTGCTGTCACAATATGCATGGTTAAAAAAAGAGTGAGAAAATGTTGCCAAGTCAAGTTGTTCCATGCAGATAATTCCTTCCCCAAAAGCCTGTGAGCAGTAGAAAAAAATTGTACAGGTTGTAGGTGAAACTAAAGTTGGAAAAGGTTCTCAAATGAGTTATTTTATCATGAATGTGTAAACTTTTTACAGTCACCATAGCTACTACAAATTTTAAAACATTAAAACCTGAATTGCGTTTTCACCCAAAATAAGATTATACTATTAGAAACAATAGATAAATTGGTAGGAATGTTGATTTCTGTGGTATATTAATCCATTGTTGCTGCCTTCCTTAAGTTTCTTAATTTAAATTCTATTTGTATTGTTTGTAGGATGAAATAGGCTTAAAAAGGGTTTGCTATTTTTTTACAGTAAAAAGCTGTGTTATTTAAATAGTGATTGCTATAGAGAAAACTATGCATTCAATATAGAGTATTCATGTATAAACTTGTCTTTTAAAGATTTTTTTTTAAGTGATTTTGATTGATGTAGTAACATAAATGCATCAAATCTCTGGTGTGACTCTGTAATAACATTTGTATCGCCCTCCAGTGGAATAAAATCACATAGCAAACAGAAAGCAGGAACCAAAAAAAAATGATATGAGCAAATGTAAAAAAAAATACCTATCACTAATCCTCGCAGTTAATTTTTTAAATAATTTCGTACATCAATGATATATGTTCAGATAATGACAACTCTCTCACAACCTTACTTATTTCCTTTTAAAATATCTTCACCAAACCAGCCTTTACCCAACATATGAACTGATTTACTTTGGCTTTAGGATATACACAGCTAATCTCTGCAATTTACTAAACAAAAGGAAAAAACAAACAAACTGTGCATTAATATACGATAAAGAGACCCTAATTTGAGCAAACATTAATCAGCATTTTATATTTGTGTTTTTCATGTAGCTCAGATAAATTGGATGCAAATCTTGTAATGTGGATATTAACAAGTTTGGGTTATGATCGGTTGTTTCTTACCTTTTAGTGTTTCTTGGTCTGGCATGCATTTTTGCATAACAAAACCTAATAGCTGTCAACATCCTACACTAAATACACAACCTTTTAGTCTCCACTCCATACATCTTGCACTGGTATTGGTATTTGCATTGACACCTTCATCAATTAGATTAAAGTGTTTGTTTTTATTAAGAAGGCTATACCAGACGCATAATCACTATACATTGATTTAACATTATCTTTACAATAAAATTCTTCACTGAAATTACAGAATAAATATATGCACATTTTTCTTCAAATCTTTGTGAAAGAGAAAACATTAAAAGTGCTTACTACAAAGCTGTTAGTGGACTGCGAAGGGGAAATCCAGAAGCATTGAAAGGGAAAAGGGGGCAGGGCTTTAACAGAGTTTGAAATAATCCCAAAAAAACCTCAGTATGGTCATGTAATAATATTCACAATTGGGTTACCATTCCTACCCCGGGACTTCCTTTTCTTTACAAGAAGCACCCTGATATAGACATAAGTCTTCATTAATAGTAATAACCATATTAAGATATAAAAGAAAATCAAATACAACACTGAACCTTAAATGTGTTGCTGTATAGAGTTCATAGAGTGATGTGATAGTAATCCTCTCACTTCCTGCACTGAAGCGAGTGCATGCAGCAAACTGCAGTTCAGTTTGAATATAAGTACTTTTTAGACTCTTTTGATAATGTCCTACAAAAAAATGTGCACAGATTCCTGGTGTTTGTACATCCTAGGTGAGGGGTAAAAGACAGGAAAAACAAAGAAAAAAAAGCAAAAAGTAAGGGAGACGTCCAGCTCCCGTTCGTCCACATGGTTACTAGTAGCACATTGTGTTAACTCCATTCAAATGGATTTTAGAGACAGACGTAACATGGTTTGTATGTTTTATTTCCCAGAGCCCATTTTTTTTCCTCGTTTGCTTTCTTGAGGGCATATAGAGATATTCTTATATTATAAAAATAATGGTTGACATTGCTGGCTACTCTGAAAAAAAGGCACTTAATTTAAACATCTGAGAATGACCTTTTTCTCCATGGAGATTTTTACGTGGGAGTGGGGGCATCATCTCCTTAAAAAACATTTTCATTTCATGCTGCCTCCACACATTTTCTTTTAATATTGATTTGAGTGACTTTTTTGGACGGTGGCAAAGCGCATATGAAAAATTTCTGTATTTTTTTGTTCTTCTCCGGAGGATAAAGAGTCATTAAAATCGGTAGGATTTTTCCAAGACTTCTAGGTAATCTGGCTTGGTTTGAAGTTTTGCCCTTAACTCAAGGTAATCACTTTGGGAGGGATCATGGTAGCAGCCTTTCCCAGCTGTAAAAAGCAATGTCTCCTTCAGACGTGCATCTTGCTGTAGATCTGGGTACTGCATGCCTGGTGGATGTGCATGTGCAACATGCATGTCCTTTAATTTCGGTACTGTTCCATACAAACAGTCTACAAAGCCCACTGTTGGTGTGGGCCTTTGACTGTCAATAACTGTAGGGCAGAGCCCTCCATTTTCATGAAATCCTGACATGTCCGCTGTGGTGTGGTTGACTGTAACAATGGTATTAAGCTGAGAGTTGGAGACCGCCAAGGTCCACTCTCTCTCTTTTTCCAACAAGGTTCTGTAGTTACTGTTGCTACTACTGCCATTGTCTTTCTTTTCTGCAAACTGTGCCCTCTCCTCCTCTGCAATCTCTCCTTCTCTAGGTTTATAGATAGGGTTGTTACACATTTGAGTAACAGGATGGGGGATGTAATCATAAACATGGCCATGGGCATGTGTGTGAGTAGTTTGTGAGTGTGTGTGCAAATTGGGCGCTGGTTTCTCTGGTGTGCCAGTGTTCCCAGCACTGTTTTGCCTTGGTGGATCCTCAAAAATCCTACATTGCATCTGAATCCCTGTTAGGTCCACCTCTGAACGCTTCCGGAAAGGTAGCTTCTTCCTGCGACGCAGGACAAAGGCAAAGAGCCCAGCAGTCACAAAGACAGCTGAAATCAAGAGGATAAGTAGGCTGAGGATGAGCACTGACAGCGGGACAGCTCCTCTCCCACCAGCTTTACCCATTTTGGAGCTTCCTGTGGTTAGGTCATAACCACTAGGTAGAGCTGGAGAGGGACCTGAGTAAAGCTTCAGCTCTGGGCAGATGACCTCCACCTCAAGCAAGCGCAGGTCCTTTCCAGAAGCATACTCAGGTGTCTTGCAGATCACATCTCCCACTACAATGACAGAGGAGAGCTTTTCTAGCCATTGTTTGAGAGGGATAATATCACAAGAGCAGTCCCAGGGGTTCTGATGAAGATCAATCTGCACAATGGAAGTGAGATGCTCTAGGACACCATGAACAGGCAGAGAAACAAAGTAATTGCTACGGAGATTAAGACGTGCAAGGTTGGTGCCAGCAAAAGCCTCATCAGGGAGTGACCTTAATAAGTTATTATTGAGAAAAACCAGCTGCAGATTGGGCATTAAGGAAAATGAATTAGGCTGGATCTCACGGATGACATTGTATTCAAAGTAAAGATAACTTAGCATCTGAAGCCCACGGAACATTTCAGGAGAGAGCCACTCAATGTCATTACCATTCAGATATAAACTTTTTAAGTTTGGTAAGTTAATAAACGCACCCTCTTGAACATAGGATATCCGGTTGTTACCTAAATGCAATAAATCCAAACTTGAGAAGTTCCAGAAATCTGATCGGTAGATCTTCTGTATTAGGTTCCCGCTAAGATACAACTTTTTAGCATTTAGGGGTCTTGGCAGAAGCTCCGAAATGTTGTGAAAGCCTTTGTCTTTACAGTTTACTGTTAATCCCAGATCATTGATGTGAAGGTTGCAAATACAACTAGCTGGACAAATTATTGGAATGGGTGGTCTTGTTTGGTAACCAGCAATTGGCGGTTGGTTGAGGCCTGGGTAGATGCTACGAGGGGTAGGGGGGTTCTTTGTCGGCCGGGGTCGTTTGGTAGGCTTCACAGGTCTTTCCTTGTACTCCACAGAAGAGGCTGTGTTGTGAACGGAGGAGATCATGGGGGAAGGTTTTGTAGGCTGAGTGTTCTCGTTGTTGAATGGCACCCGGGGAATTCCCAGCTTGGCCTCAATCTCTGCATCAGAGAGCAGAGGACAGAGCTCGTTGCGTTTAATTTCCCGCAGGTCTTTTCCATGTAGGTGGAATGGGTACTCACATGTGATCTCTCCCACCAATGCTGTGTAGGGAATTCTCTCCAGCCATGTTTTTAACTGAACAATCTCACACACACAGTTCCAAGGATTTTCCTCTAGCTGGATTTCCATCAAGCTCCGCCCAACATACTCCAGTGTGCCTTTATACTGCAATGTCTTTAGTCTGTTACCCCTCAAGTCCAGATGTGTAAGGGACACAGACCGAAAAAGATAGTTTGGCAGCACGGGTATGAGATTGTCATTTAATATTAAGACTCTTAATTTGTGAAGGTGCCTAAATGCACCACTTTCAATCCTTTTAATGACATTATAATCTGCCTGGAGATATTCTAGACTATCCAACCCCAGAAATGTGTCATTTCGGAAAACTTCTAACTTGTTCTCATGGAGAAAAAGCCGTTTGAGTATTCCCAAGCCATTGAATGCCCCAGCATGTATGTCTTGCAAGGCATTATTACCGAGATTGATGGATATAGCATTGTTAAGATGGAGGAAGCTGTTGAAGTAGAGCTTCCTCATTGAGTTCCTCTGCAGGTTGAGCTTAAAGGGCCGGCTCCAAATTTGAGAGATTTGGCTGACATTTGTAAATCCTTTACTGTCACAGTGGACATGGAAGATGCCTTCTTTGACCTCGCAGTCGCACGGCTCGAAGCAGGGCTCGTCGATCTCCTCTGAGTCCTCCAGCAGTGGAATTGGAGTGGTCCATCCTAAGGCTATGGTGCTCAGCAAGGTAACCCAGAGCATCCTCGCTGACACCACGGCAATGAAGTTTCAGCTCTAGGGACAGAGCCACTTCACAGCACTGCAACAGAGAACAGTAAACACATGGTTAGATTAAATCAGAGTGAAGGTATAGGGTTAATTGTTACACACACAAATGCACATCATAACAAAGATAAGTTTGAGGTGGAGAGACAATAAATAAATTAAATATATATATATATATGCTATATATATGAGAAAGAGCGCATTAGTTGCAGCAGAATCAATGGCAGCTTTGAAATGAATACCTATGAATAATAGAAGGATGCTGGACACAGTCTGCAATATTACTTTCCTTCTATATATAAAACTCTATACTTTTAAATTGATAATATGATACCTGAGAATACAAATAGCTTTCTGCAATCAGGCATCACACTTCACTATAAAGCCTGAAATGCCATTTATTATACAGCAGATGTGCTGTTAAGGTCGCAATAAATCACAGCGGAGATGCTTATCGCTATGAATAAACGAAGAGAAAAGTGGGTGAGGAGGAGTAGCGTTGAAGAGACACTGCCCCTCGCTTTGTTTAATGCATAACAAGAACCTAATAACCATCTCTTAAAATATGAATGTTATTGTGCTGCTACAGAAGCATTCAAAAATGTTAACCTGGAAGAAAAAGTTAGTGCTACAATATAATTTTTTTTGTATTTAAGCCAGTCTGACGGTGTATGTATTTCTCTAAGACTTATTTAAAGCTGCTAAGGTACATTTTACAGTGTTGCATGTAAAATTTTAAAGTGAAAGTGACAAAAAAGTAGTCAGATATTCAGAAAAAATTAGAAAACAGTACTTTGCTTCTTGTGTTTTCACTTCTTTAAACCTTATGCCTTATGCCAGGAAATATATTTTATTCCAATAATTTATTTATTGCTGTTTCAACACTAATATTGTATGTTTAATAATCTCTCCAGCTATTTTAGGGTAATAGAAATTATTGTACAAGTGAAAAGAGCAGTGGACACTTCTGCTTTGAGAAACCCAGCTGTGGGGAAAGCTTTTTTCCAGAGCCCGACAACCTTACGCTAAGAGTGAAACAGTAAAAACTACAAGCAATGAATTAACAACAAAAAATTTACCACTGCCTAAAAAATGAAAAATAAAAATGTCTCATATGAATTGAATTATGCTTTGGCTAAATAAATGCATATATTTCTATTATTGTCAATCTCACTGTCTGTATGCCTCCTCATCTCTTAAAAAAAAAAACAAACAAACAAAAAAAAAACATTCACAGTAGCAAAACGTTTGAAATTTTTGCTGTTATGGAAACTCATGTATTCACTTCGCTGTTTCAAAAAAATACAGAGAAGCGCATCCATTGGCGCAGGTAAAATCGCTGTCCGTGGTGCTGAAGGCAACAACGCGGTACTGTAATAGGAAGGACAAATGCAGTAATCCCACCAAAAAAATGTGACAAGTGAACCTGATGGCAAAAAAAAAAAAAAAAAATAAAATAAAAAGAGTTATTTTTATTTAAGTTTTACTCCCCATTCCATGAGTCATCCAACAGGATTTGATTCCACCTCCATGTTATTGAGATCACAAAGCCAGATGGGGTGTCAAAAAGTAAGAAAACATTTCATGAGACGGAGCGAATTGTGGACCATAACATTTTCCCATTTGCTGCATCGTATCGAGTGGTATACATACTTAGTTTAGTGGAATTCCAACTTCACATATCCTCCTTCTGCGATGATTTGTTCTGTCGTGGCCCGGTGCGTCCCGCGTCTCACGGTCCGATGCCGGGCTGTAAGGGAGGAGGGAGAGAACGAAAAAAAAATGAGGAGGGTGGCTGAGCCGTCTGAACGGGGAAAACACAAAGAAGGACATGGACAGAGACAGCGGGGCACTGAGGGGGTGGGGGGGGGGAGTAAGATGAGGAGGAGATGCGCATGAGAATGAGCCCCGGATGAATTAAAAAAAGAGGTACTGCTTGTCAGGAATTGGTCAATTTCAACCAGGTTCCATTAAAAGGACGAGTGTCTTTCAACACACATCTTCGCAGTTAGTGTGGGAAAAATGATGATGAACAAGTTCCGGTCTAGAAGGAACGGTCTCTGATTTGGTGCCAACCTAAGACACCCCCCACACCCACTCTCACTCAAAAAAAAAAAAAAAAGGAGCAGCAGAGCGCGTGTTGGAATAAATGCCAAGCATAATGCAGGCTTTCGCGTTGACATTGGCCATGAAAATGTGGACTAAAAGCTAGAGCAAAATGTGTATTGATTAGTAGGAGGTGCTCTCCGTTATCCTTGCTCGCTGTCTCCATGTTTAAAGTCCAGCGCTATGCAGACATCAGTAAAAGCTCGGAAACCCACACACAAAAATCAAACGAAAAAATAAAAAAATAAAAATACTTCTCCATAATCCACACGAAATAGTTCTGCTCACCTTGATTTTCTTATGCAATTGGAAAGCATCTGGGAAAAAAAGATCAGTAGTTTCAATTTGGTAATTCTCTCGTTTTCCTCTTCTCTTCCTTTTTTCGCACTCTCTCTCTTTCTCTTCCCCCCTGTCCTCACTCTCTCTTAGTGGCTGTAGCGAAAGAGAGGAGAGAAGAGAAACGTAGACGTGATAAGAATGCGATCTCTCCCCCCTATCTCTCTCTCTCCCTCTCTCTCTTGCACTCCGGTGATACTGACCCTCTCTCTCTTCTCTTTTTTTCTAAGTAGTTTGTTTAAAATGCAAGTCCTCTACTTCTGCCCATCCTCTTCCTTTCCTCCCCTTTCCACCACCGCCTCCTCCTCCCGAACCGCCTCTCGGGCGATCGCTAAAACAACCCCGGGTGAGAGAGTTCTCCAATCGGCTTCAGGAGGAGCCCATCTCTGTCAGCACACTGACAGTGGTAGGCTACGAGTATGCGGATCATAGCGGCCTCGACTTGGTTTTTCCCCCTGTCGTGCGTCACAGAAAGTGACGGACTGAACTAGAGAGAGGGTTGCGAAGATATGGGAGAAGTAGAGGAGAGAAATCTGGCAGTGAGAGAAGTGAGGGAGGGTGGGTTGGGGGGGCAACACGAGTGATGGGGGACGGTTGCTCTATAGTTCTGGATGCTGTCGAGAGGAGGAAAGGAAGTAGTGAAGAGAGGAGAGAAGAAGCGCTCTAGCTGCGGCGATGGGAGCGCGCGTCTGTAGAAAATAATTAAGAATCCGTTTGCGCGCAAGACCTGTGGATTCCAGTTTGGATGCAAGTCGCCCTTACTCTCTTTGAGTGTCCCCGTATTATCATTTTAATTACTTATTTAATTGGAATAGACCTGAGTTAACATTGCTCCCTATATGTCTCTCTCTCTCTCTGTCCCTTCACTCTATTCTTCGCCACTGAACATAGACACAGTTTTGGCCGGTTGAAGTTTGCACCCTGCTTTACCGAAATCTTCCCCCGTGCTGAGAAGTCCGACGGTGGCCGCAACTGCCTATGAGTAACAGAGCAGGGAAAAGGAAATATGGTGCCTTTCTTCTTTCTATCCCATGTGCTTCCCAATCTCGCCTCCAGCGGGCAACACAAGCCCACGTTGTGAGGAAGAGATCCTCCTTTTAGTAGTTTAACACAGAAGAGGCTGATCTTACAGCCTAGTCGATGATAGATGCACTTACTCTAGGCTCTTTACGACGTTAACATAACAACGTTTAGATTTAAATTGTTATATTTAAGGAGAGGTATGCTTTCATTTTATAAAAAAAAAAATTTTTTGGAGACTAAAAATGTCAATGATCCCTGAAATATTATTATGGTGCACTTTTTTTTCCTTTTTTTTTGACACTGTTAAAGGGTAACATTGAATAAGAAGTTTGTTAGTGCTCCATTTTAACTATTGTATAATGGTAAGACTTCAAACTTTTTTAGTCAAACACATCTAAAATGATCTACACCTGCAAGTTTGACTTATGCAACAGCAATATCATTAATCAAATTAATCAAACACTTTTAAGTACAATTCTCATAATAGTTTTTAACTTCTACTGAATTGATATATATGTTCATCATATAACCCATATACAACTGCACTGCTGAATGCTACATAAAAAATGGGAATAACAATTATGTAAAAAAAAACATTATCTGTTAAATTAGTGAAAATGTTGAATTTTCAACAATGAATCTATGCTTTTATTGGGTTAATGTTATAATTTATCTGTATTTGTGATTAACATACTGTATGTAACTTTTTAATAAATCATTTCCCTTTTTATTTTATTTACTAATAGAATAGATTGTTTTGGTTTTAATTGGATTTATGACAGCAGTCTTCTAGGAGTATATTAGGCAATAAAGTGAAATAACTAAATAAAAATTGTTATATAAATTAATTTGAGGATGTTGTGAGAGGTTTTTCAAAGAATGTGTAGTTATGTGGTTGATAGTATCCAAAAATTACTTTTTAGTTAGTTAAAAACTGTCGACTGTGCATATTCTAGAGAACTTTTCCTGTCAAATGTATTAAATACTTTTTAAATTAATCTGCTGAGGTATAAGGCAAGTGAGCAAATATCCTATTTGTAATCCCTGCTGAGATTTGCCACTTTACGCATCATTGTGGATTAAATGATTGAGCTCAGGAGACATTATCATGTGCAGAGGATATATGACATTAAATAATGTTCACTGTGGTTATAACCCTAAAAGTTGCTTCAAGGAGCTCAGACGATGTGATATGTTTAGAAGGCTTTTCCCCATAATACATAGCTTGAGACAGATTTTTTTTACCATTTACAATTTACACAGACTAACTACATTAAGTGACTAACATTACCCTAAAATTAAAACAGCTCAAATTAATATATATATGAATAAATAGACGGCATCTCCATTTTTATAACAGACATGATTTGTGAAAGGATAGTTTACTTTACTGAAAGAAGCCCCTTTCCTACATTGTGCCACTCCAGGAAATAAGTGGAGGCCTTGGTCAATAAATGGTTTAAGAAACACATCCTGTGCCTGCATACAAATACACAGTGCAGATAGGTCAGACAGGAACATTTGAGAGCAGCTTGTGGTCTGTAAGGCTGCCATTCCTCTTCATGAAAAGCCATCATTCACTGCGTCAGTGTGTCAGCTACTGTCTCACTGGCTGACATGAGGCAAAACCTTCATTCTGTCACAGGACATGGGCTGCAATGATTTTGAGTTGTAGCGTGCTTAAATGTAATAAAAAGTACAAATCTGGGCTAATGAGTTTGCCAGTCAGAAAATACAGAGGACATTGATGGCACATGGGACATTGTGTCTGACAAATATAACACAGCTTCCTTTTCCCCATTATTAAGAGCAGTGTATCACAGTGTAACACAGAGACATAAAGCAATTAAACTTACCAGAGTACCTGAAGAAAACATACAAACTCCATGCAGAAAGACCCTAAGCTGGGAATCAAACCCAGGACTTTCTTGCTGCAAGAGAACAGTGCTACAAACTGCCACTGTGCAACCCCCAAAATTTAAATATGCTCTTGTAGTTTTTCAGATTTCTGAAAGAAATTAAATTTCCTTTTACATTTCCTTGTAGTTTAGAATTTTTTTTCCAGTTAGTCTATCTCATAATAATAAACCCATAAAATACATAGAGGTTTGTTGTTTTACAACACAATAAGTGGAAAAATTCATGGAGTATTAATATGTTTGAGAGTTACTATAGATTGATTACATTTAAAAGAAATAATCTTTTAAGAGTGGTTCTTATACTGAAATATAAAACAATATTTTAATTATTGGTTTAACTTAATGGGGATATGGAGTGAAAGTTAAGTTGTTCAAATTTGCTGCTGTTATGTTAGCTTCAAAGTCAAAATAACTGATTATGTTGTGTCGATATGGTAATAGACATTAAAGTCAAACCAGCCATTTGTAACATTTTAATGTCATCACTACATAACATGAAGGACAACTCTGTCAAAGAAAGCAAACAGCTCTTTAGCTATGAGGGAGGAATGTTTGACAGTGACCCTTTTCCTTTGCTAAACTTAGACTTAGACAGACTTTATTGTCATTTTGTACACACAGGGTATATAGAAAACAACATTTAATTGAGTACAGCTCTCAAGATATTTCTATTTCTTGAAATGTAGCAGTGATATGTAATGTTTACGTATGATCATATGTAATGATCAAATGTAAACATAAGACCGAAATATGATTTACAGTTTTTCCATTTTGTTTTCTTTTTTTTTTTTTAACATTCAGCAGTCTAATGGCAGTGGGGAAAAAGCTGTTTTGGAATCTGCTGGACCTGCATCTGATGCTTTGAAGCCCCTTCCTAGAGGGCAGCTGGGAGAACTGTCCATGGTGGGGGGTGAGGGGTCATTGATAATGTTACGGCTCAGCTCAACTTGAATTGACTCTGCCCTATATTTTTCTGGTCTTTTTCCATCGCAATAAAGTTGCACCTCAAAACGGGTGTAGTTGTAAGATTAAGTCACCTCCAGAGCCAGAAAACTAAGCAACATATTCTCATTATCAGTTCTTATGAAATCGTACGAAAAGTTATGCACAGTATTTTGTACGTTTTTGATGTTTTTCCACGAAAAAACAGATCAGTGCGCATGCGCAACCAGACAGACGAAAAAAGCAGATCCTCGGAAGGATGTAAAACTGGGAAAAACAGTGCAATGATCACTTCTTCAGGTCTCTAACTAGGTTGCTTGCTGTTTTGTATCTTAGGGTTAGGGTTAATTGTATGTTAAATTCTATGTTATTTAATGGTGCGTAACATGCGCATGCGCAAGGATATCTTGTCTCGAGGCAAGATGTAAAAATAAGATGAAATGCGACGAAAAAAACGTCTAAAACGTACAAAATTACGGAGCATTACTTTTCATACGATTTCATACGAACTAATAATGAGAATTCACTGAACTAAGATGATGTGATTTGTAAATCACACAACTACAATGTAACAATGGAGGTTATAGAAGCAATGGTAAACATACTGCTCAGTAAATGACTTTATTTTCATCAGACTCAAAGTTAAAGGGCAAAGTCTAAAAAAATGCTTCTAGGGGCACAAGGAAACAGTAGATAAGTACAGGGCAGGGTTGGGATCCATAAAGGGTTATCAAACCAAAAGGTACATGCTAGAAGACATATCAGGCTTAGCTAATGGCACCTAGCACCGGTGATGAACAAAGTACTCAAAAGTAGTACTTGAGTGAAAGTATCGATACTCAGAGTCAAATCTTACTCGACTACACGTAAAAGTTACTCAGTCAAACATCTACTCAAGTTAAAGTATTGAAGTAGTCACTCAAAAGTGCATGCATTTAAAAGTATTCAAGTATTCAAAAATAGAAATTAACTTTTCTAAGATCTAATTTCAGAGTCAGTTTAGAGAACCTTGTAAATTTCAGAAACCACCAGAGATATTGATGCGTAGAACCACCTGCTACAGATTTTACACCACTTGTAAAGAACTTTAGCATAAAAAAGCCACAAAAAATTACAGCTATTGTGATAATTATTATTTATTTAAAAATAAAAAAAGAATACAGGATTGTCTTGATTCTCCTAACACCTTCGCTATGTAATAGAGGTTTAAGGTTGAATCTATTATCACAAAGAAACAGCAAACCTTGATTTGAGAACTGATCCTACCAAATAACTTGGCCACAAGGCAACAACCAACAGCTTGATGACATTTATAAACTACACATAATATCTGCCCTGAGTTTCTCGCATTTGTGGAAGGTCATGCAAATTTTGTCCTAATGGATGCTACCTTGCATGTTGAAATTGGTTTTCAAAAAAGAAAAGAGCAATTATGGACTAAACATCATGGAGTACTTAAGTATGGTAATCAACTAAATTTACTTTGTTACTTTCCACCACTACCTAGCAAAAGCTTGCTATAGTGGTCATATACACAATAAGCACACAATAAATGCAATAAGAAAAATAATGAGCCAAGAACAATTAATTAATTAATTAAAT